ACACACACACACACACACACACACACACAAAACAACTCCCTCTTACACACTGATAGAACAACACGTTTAACAAACCCCTGAGAGAGAAAGTCTCCTTCTGGATATCATACTGAATTCCTCCCTGTAGTCAAGAAGAAGTCAAATCCTGTAATTAAGAACATGTATTAATATCTCAATGCATATAATACGCTATACTACAGTCCTTTAATCATGATCTGGATCATGTAATGTCAAATCAGTTCATCCTTAAGTTCAACTGAACATTTGTACCAAATTTAAAGAAATCACCTTTATTCCGTTCTGGAGATATCTGGTTCAGAAGAATGGTACGAACCTGAAAACGTATCGTCTCTGGCCCCTGGCTGGCACGGAGGCATAAAAAAGGCCCCAGCGAGTCTAATGTTATGTGACTCCTGGATTTTATTGCGTGTGGATTTATGTGTAATACTTTCGCTATTTTTGTTGTTTAAAATCCTCAGGACATCCCTCTGAAATATGCCTGTACTTCATGATTCATTAAAAACAGACCATGGGAACTTCATACAACAAAATAAAGGATGAACTCATATATTTCATATTTCTGCTGAGTTTATTTGCTGAGAAGATACGAAGATGAACAGCGTATGTGTCTCAATGTTTCGTTTGCCACCGTGCATCTCGCCACTTTAGAAAACACTTCAGCGGACACAAGCGTTGTCACAGACTCTGTCACTGTGGAGGACAAAACAGACGATTTGTGTGGCTGAGCTGACGGAGCTGATGTGTGAGTGTAGTGAGGACAGACAAACTATGGTTACAACAATGAACAAAGCCATGAGTCATACTCCATTACACATTGTCTCCTTTACAGAAGAGTCATATCTCTCTCTCCCTCTCACTCCTCTCTCTCTCACACACACACACACACACACACACACACACACACACACACTTGTCAGTACCAGACAGCAGCAGAAACGTTGACGTTAGACTTTCCTCAAATGAAGGCAGGAATAATGAAATTATTGTGAACAGAAGAAGCAATTCAACTGATAGATGTGCAGAAATCAGTGGGTCATTGTACTGTGTGTGTGTGTGTGTGTGTGTGTGTATGTTTGATAACACAGTAAAGTGTTAGTTAAGCTGTTGACTCAGCAGTGATAAGAAGAGGCTGAGTAACACTTCATCTTATGTACACAGTCTCACTGGAGGACGTAGACAAACATGATCATTTAAAAATTACAACAATCATATCACACCTCACACATAAAAAGATGAAGTGTTCTCAAACAGACTTTACTACAAACATGTTTTCCAGTTAAGCTAAAGTTCAATATCTTAAATGTTTATAAGAAAATATAAAATCAGTAATCAGGTTATCTCTCGAAGTTACTTTGTGCAAATTCTAACATGTTTAAATACTATATAAAGAATATTGACATACAGAGAAAAGGGTAATGCTACTGCTTCTACTTTAAACCACTGCAGCAAATACGGGAACTAACATTAAGGCTTGATATTTTAGTTTAAACACTATACTATAAATAACTTTATATGAAAAGAAAACACAAAATGCAACCAAATATATAAAACTTGAATTAAGAAAATATTTCTTATTTTGTAAACATAAGTGCACATCATTTCTGCATCGTTAATTCTGTAAAATAAAAGATTTCAAATTAGCGCATATCGCCAAAACGACATGTCTGGTAAAAGGCTCATATCGGCCGGGCTCTAGGGTTTAGTCCCAAATTTTCCATGTTAACTCTCCTTTAGTCTCCAAACAACTTTAAAGTGAAACAGATATAAGACTTTGTTTGTAAATGCTCCTCTGGGTTCAGCTACTGTAACAGTGTCTGTTGTCTTCCCTTTGGTTTAGAGCCGGTAAGGAAACTGTGGGCAGAGACACAAACGTATTGGACCATAATAAAAACAACAATTAGTTAGAAGATGCTGAAAGTCAACATAGAGATGAGGGTGAACTGCAGCGACCATGAGCTGTTCACATTATTACGTCCACCCCCTCTGTAGATGCACATCATATTAACATAGGATCATGTTGGCGGCTGCTTCCAGCTTTGGTTGACATTAGAGTCTCTGAATCCGGTGTGTCTGTGTCAGAATACATGAGTGTGGACGCACTGCGTGTTGTCAAACAACTGAAGTCAACTCTACAATAACGGTGTTGATGCTACAACTGAGCTTTTTAAATGCAGATATCTCATCAAATTGAAATGAATAAACTCATTGTGCTCGAAGCGTAAAGTAAAGTCAGAGCGTCTTGTAGCGAGATGAGGGAAGACGGACATTGTCCTGCTCATTGTCCAGGTCGTCGACCCACCCACAAGTTCAGTGTTAGTCCAGCTGAGATATATGAGAGGCAGTTGGTGACAGAAGCTGAGCGGCGATGACCTCATCACTCCGCGACACACGTCACACGAGGAAAGTTCTCGATAATAAAAGTGTATCTGTTCGTTGCTTCATCAGCAGCACTGATTCAGCCGTCCACACTCAAAGTCAATTCCATCATCTCTGATCAGCGGACGTGCTGCTCCCCTCCGGTGTCATGGCCGCGTGCTCCCTCTGCTCCCAGACGTCAGTGTCTGTGTCCGTCAGTCGATCAGACGATGAGGGAGTCTCGGCTGAGGAGGGTGCTCTATGGGTGATTAAATAAAGGGTAAGCCATCAAAACAACAGCAGAGTAAACACAAGAATATCAAAGCATATTGTGTTCAGTCGAGTGAGACAGTGCAGTGGCAGTGGACATTAGCCAGAGGAGGTTATTGTGGTGAAGTAGAACCTGGGACAAACTGCAACTTTCAACTTTTTTTCTAATTATTTACAGATTTGCTTGAAGAAAACATAAATAGGGGCGGGACAAAATATCGATACAACAATATATCAACATCAACCTGACTCGTGAGATATGATTATTGATTTACTGGCACCAAAACATCTGGCGACAAATATCGATATTCAGTTATTCATTATATACTTTGGACCATTTTACATGTTAATGATGGCGCATGTGGACATGGACACATTAACAGTGTGCATGTTAAAGACTAAAAAGGCACTAAGATAAGACTTAATGCATTTATTTCTGCACTCTTTAGTCTCATTTTGTGTCAAACACCGAACCTGCACTTTGACCTCAGTGGGGGCATTTTATTTTCTTCTTTCTTTAAACAGATGATTGATGTATGATGTGTCGATTATCACAGAATTGCTGTTTCATCATATTATCGCCTTCGTGGGCCATATATCGCATATTGAAATGTGAATTAATCTGGGATTCCCACCCCTACTGATAAATTAAGTAATGTTGTTCAGGAAGTCTTTGGTGTTGAATACCATTTTGACCCAGGTCTGTGAGGGAGGACACAACCGGTTATGATTGTTATGGAGAGTAGTTGGATACAGAACAGAGTCTTCTACCTAGTTTTCACTCTGGTAGCTTCTGAACCTGACCTGTCAAAAGTACAACAACAACACTTACTTCTCAGCATCAGAGCGGAGATCCCATGTTAATTGTTTTAATCACAACAGGTTTAAAATATTACATATACATATTCTTAGTATAATCGATTTCAAGCTCCCATCCATGCTCTTGAAAATTGAACAAAAAAGAAGTGTGCCATAATCCTAATCACATGATCACTCTCAAGGTGCAGGTTTATGAAAACTGTGGAGCCTGAAAATGTGTTTTGGGGTTATATACAGGACTGATAAATGTTTCTACTGTGGACGACCTGCTGAGTGTTTAATTATTCAATCATCAAATCAAGTTTTTATCTTGTCTGCTCACATCATGTCCCTGCTGTCTCTCTCTCACTCTCTCTAATGAAGAAACAGCATAGCATCATTTATAATGTTACTAAACATGACATGACAGTACTTTATTGCTTTGCCCTGATAGTTTCTTAATCATCAGAAAGTTCTGTCCTGGCACTGGGACTCTTTGCTCCCTGGAACAATCATTTCTAATTTAATCTCCACTTCGTCTGGTTGAAACACAGGTTTAGTTCCTCAAAAGGTTCACAGGCCCCCGGGTAGGTTTGTTTGGTGGAAATGCCCGAGAAGATATTTGAAAAGACTAGGTGTTAAATTCTCTGTAGTTAGCCAAGTGTTAGCAAATATATTCATCAAATAACAAACCTAGAATCAGTTTTTGATCAGAAGAGAAGATGCTACTCACTGCAGTTGCTGCAAATTAGCGAACAATCCTACCAACAATTTATAGGTTTGAATGTAACTCACCACTTTCCGGGACTTGTCTCTGGGTTCCTCTCTGCGGCTGTGCAGGGAGAGGGTAGGAGGTTGAGGGGAGCGAGTGTTTGTGGGGAGCGGCCGTGGTGATGGCCTGTCAGTCCTGCTCCGCTCTGTGTCTGAGTAAGGAGGCAGTGAATCTACCTCAGGCCTGTTACTGGGCGAGCGGCTGCAGTGCCAATTGGATTCTCCGCTGCTCTTTTTCGAGCTGCCCTTTGAGGGTGTGTCTGAATCTTCCTCACCTCGGGCCCCACTCTTCCCCTGGCTGACCCCACGTAATTTAGCCTTGCGCTCAAGCAGGCTGTTCAGGAATGTGCCATCATAGTCCTTCTCTTGAGAGGAAGTTGATGGCGGACTGACTCTGGGAGGAGGAGGAGCAGGACGATCATTATCCCATGTGCCCCTCCTCTTTTTGGGTGAAGGAAGTGGACTTATGTTGTGTCCATTTTTCCTGCTCCATCTGGGATGATCTTCATGATCCCTGTTGTCTCCCAGCTCATTTTCATCATTGTAATAATGTTGAGCTGGACCATCACGGTAGGAAGGATATCGACCAGACTCCAGAAACTCCATCTCATAGTGTCCTCTGTCTTCTTCCGACTTCTCTGCTCCTCTGCCTCCTTTCTGCTTGTAACAGGAAGCAAACTCCTCCAGCTCGTCCAGTGAGCCGGTGCGTCCTGCAGAGCGGTACGTTTTTCTGTGCAGATGCTCTGAACGAGGGTTCCACCTGCAAAACACAGCCCGAGGCCAAGAGAGGACAGAGTGACGTGTAGGTTTGTGAGGGTGTGTGTACAGAAACTGAGGATTCAGAGATGACTGTACCTGTTGCGGTTCTCCTCCTCGCTATGGTTCTGCTGATGTAGATTACGTACAAGCCTGCGCGATGGTGAGGAGGATGGAGGATCATCGCTGTAGCGTCGCGGAGGAACAGGCTCTTCCTGGCATCGCCGAGGCTCTGGATCGGGGTTATCCCGGTGCCGCTTGGGTGAAGTGAGGTTGTCACGGTAACGCTGTGGCTCTGGGCTGCGGTTGTCACGGTAGCGTTGGGGTTCAAGCTGGGGGTCGTGGTCAGGGATGGCAGGCAGAGCTTTCTTCTGGATGTTTCTGTATGTTTGGCGGAAGCCTGTTTCTCCCTCGTGGAGAGAGCTCAGCTCGGACAAACTGCAGGCTGAACAGGTCAAGTAAAGTCATTCGTCAATAAAGAAAGATTGAAGATAGAATTTAAATTTTATTTAAAGAAAGACACTGCAGATGAAGAAAGCCAGAATCAAAGTCCACATCAAATTAAAAAGTGTCAAAGTGAGAATTGTTAAAATCTTCAGGTAAGTAGGCATGCAGGCCTGCTACTGTATCACCTCTGAACTACAGGAAACTCAATATGCAGGAAGCTTGAGTGCAGAGAGGCATGCCAAGACAGGCTAAAGAGAATAAAAAGCCAAAGACACAACAGCAGAATATAGTAGAGCATGCAGTTTCTATCCATCGACATTTATGGACAAGTCTTGACAGATCCTTGAGAGAGTAAAGCCACGGCACGGGTTCATGAATCTTACACTGGTGGCTGATGGATCTGGAGGGGTTGAAGTGAGCCAGCTGTTTCTCTACATACTGTAGCACCCTGAGAGAGTCCTGATCCTGAGGTGAAGGCACACGGTAGGGAAGCCCTACAGCATGCATCGGCACTGGAGATACATACTTGACCCATCAGCATAGGAAATCTCTGTATGTCTGTGTGTCTGCGCATTTACTTTATTTTCTTCGTTCAGTCATTTTAAAAACACATATTCACTTGCAAATAAAGAGTAAGACCTCACCTGCTGTGAGTAGGCTGCCGTCTGAAGGGGGGACGGAAGACATCTTGTCCACTAGGGAGGGAGGAGCGATAGGTACCATGGTCGGGACACCAGAGACGAAGTATGGAGGGTAGGCAGGTGTCTGAGGGGTGGAGGTTCCCGTCTTTATACCCTTACCTGCCTCATACACTAAAAAGAGCAACACACAATCCAAATAAGACATTCCAGGGAAACACTTAATTCAGGCAGGCTTGTATTCTGAACTTTTGCACCTCCATGTGTGTGTGTGTGTTTATACTCACGGTGTCTGGGGCAGCAGCACGTGTCAGGGCAGCACCAGCAGCTGACGTAACAGCAGCAGGAGTGAGGACAACACTGACACCAACAAACGCCAACCAACAGCAGGAATAACACACTGCCCAGCGCTACCGACGCCACAAACACCCACTCTGGAAGTACAAACAACACACAATCCTGCATAAAACATACATAGAACACACACACTCACATAAAACCAACACATACAGGCAAAGATTTACTTGATCACTGTGTAGACACAATTGGCGTGTTTTAAAGCACCGCACTTCTGCAACAAACTGATGTAGTAGAACCATGAATATATCAGTGTTTTCTATTCCACACAGAGTCAAAATCCAGTGTCTACATTAACCACAATGCAACACAGTTGTTTGGAGATGTTGAGGGGCTGTGCTCGTAGCGGCTAACTAAACTTCAGGCCTGGAGTGAGCTATAGAAGTCTAATAACCAACATTGCTTTAAACCCAAATGATACTGCCCTCATGTGAATTCAATTAATTGAATGATTTATCACAGCTCCCTGCCCTTGAGGGATGTGACGTTTTTATTATGACCTCCACCAAGGAGGTAGTTTGTATCTGCACAGGATTACACAAAATCTAATGGTGGGATTCACAAGAAACTCGTTTTTTTTTTTCACTCTTTATTTCTTTCACTTCAGCACAAAAGCTACACATGTACTAACGTATGACAAGATAGAAATCCTTGAAAGTCTGAAGTATTATAATATCCAGAGAGGATAATGTGGTTAATAAGCAAAATTGTATCAAAAGGAAAGAAATATTTTAACATATTTTCCCTTAATGCACAAAAGCTGAAAGCCAGATGGCATGGCATCCTTTCTTCCTCAGTGTGATGCATTTCCTGTAGAACAAGGATGTTGTGACGGGTTAGCGAGGGAGATGAGTGTGCCTTCTGTTATTGGGATCTTTTTTTAAACTTTATATGTAACAAATCAGAACAGATTAAACCTTAACCAGAATGTTAAAAAAAAAGTTTAAAAAAAATAAAAAATAAAAAAAGACTATTAGATGGTAGAAGTGATAAAGCAAGTAGATCAGATAAACTACATGTATCTGTCTACAGGGACAAAGCAAAGGAAAGGGAAGGGAAGGGAAGGAGAAGGCAGATAAGGAAATGTTAACAATGTAATGTCCTTCATGCAAACACACACACACACACACACACACACACATATGCTGGCACGCAAACACACAGACACAAAAAACAATCATACACACTCACATGGGGAGCCTGTTTTTGCTACAGGAAGGAAAAGGACAGTTTATGCTGCTCTGAGAGATACTAATGGTTTGTCTGTTACAACAAATAAATTTGTAATGTGATACACACACACACAGACACACACACACACACACACAGAGCACTGTGGGAGTCGACGTGGACACATCATGTGCTAATGCAACACTAACTGCTGAGATAAGCTCACACTAACCATTCTGACTTGGTGAGTCATTATCGGGGGTCATTTCCACACAATCCATCCATTCAATCATCCTCTCCCACAAACTTTGGGATTAAAAAAGTTTTACAGGAATTTGATGTGGCATTAAGAAAACTCCCTCCCTTCCTCCCTCCCTCCTCATCATCACCACGTTTTTACTGGGTTGTGTCCGATGACACGTTAACCGCAAACATAAATAACTGTAATGACCATAATAGCTGTTTACCAGCACAACTCATCTTAGTGGGAGCAACGGCCAGCTCATAATCTGACGAGTGCTGAGTAACAACAGCTCTGAGCTCTCTGAAACACCTGTTACATTATTACCTCTGACATGGAGGTGTGCTATTTGTCTGTCAGGAGGATCACTATTAAAAAACTACCAAGCTGATTTTCTTGACACTTGGTGGAGGGGTGGGGTATAAAACAAGAGAGTTTTGGAGTGGATCTTATTAAAGGGCAGCATCCAGGAATTCCTTCTCATTTTTTTTGGTCACTTTCTCAAGAACTAATGTATTGATGATAACAATCACTAAGGGGCTGATATCTGAGTGTGTGTAATTTGTGCAGCTTAAAGGTTCAGTGTGTCAGATTTTGGCATGAATGAAATATAAAATAATCCCACTGAGGTTTTCATTTGTTTTTAATTTATATAAATGGTATAAATTGTTGTTTTCTTCAGCCTAGAATGAGCCCTTTTCATCGTGAGCATGCCCTCTCCACGGAGGCTGCCATGTTTTTTTATAGTAGCCCAGACTGGACAAACTAAAAACCTTTTGAGTTTTTATGACAGCTGAAGGCTACCACAGGTTCTCCTTCATGTTTTTGAAGGGGAGGGTGAGGTGAGAGGTAGTCAGCTGCAACATGCAACTTCACCACTAGCTGTCACTAAATTCTACACACAGAACCTTTAAGTGAATAAAAGGGGACAGTTAGGCCTTGGTGGAGGTATGTGAGCTACTGAGAGCTATTCTAGTTTGCTGATGAAAAATGAGGATGGGTTAGACAGTAACAGAGCTGTTAGCACAGAAACTACAGTTCTAAATTTCTACCAATGTAAAGGGTTCATAGACCTTTGTTTGAAGCAGTAAATAGGGTTAGTATGAATGGAAGAGACCAGGTGAGGGTGAGGACACATTATGCCCCTACCTGGCATAATCTTCAAATCAAATTCTGGCAGCAGATCTTCAGGCACACCTGAGAAACCTGGAGAGAGACAGAGCAGAGGTGACGAGAGGAGAGGTGACAAGAGCAGAAAAGTGGAAAGACAGGAGAGGGGGAAATTGGCTTGATGTAATTTGGAATGACTGATTCAAAGAAAGTTACTTCTGCCACAGCATGCACAAGAAGATAAGGAAGACCAAAACAAAAAGAGATACTTGGAGAAAAAGAAAGAGTTGGCAGGTCAACAGCAGCATGCACCAGAGGACGTTCTGATATTGTTCCAGTGTGTCCTTACATCAGAGCGACTGATCAGCAGATTGATTGAGATTTCTCATCTTAAAGGCTGTGTGGGTATCTGTCTGATGAGAAGACCGACTGGAACATGAATCATTCTCGTGATAATAACATGACAAGGTGCTGTGAGTAATGTTACATGCAAGAGCTGCAAAAACACAGATGGAAACATTCCTCATCCAAAAAAAAAGGAAAACAAACTGCAGATAAGCTGTTTGTTCCTGAAACTATTTCTTTGTCTCTGTTTTCTGACCAGTCAAGAACGTAACTTCTGGATGAGAACATTAGCACCTTAAGTGAGGGATGAGTTCTGACTGCAATCGATTGTTAAAATACTCAGACCCATTAACTCCAATATAAACAAATCTCTTGTCAAACATTTCATTTCTCCACCATACATAGACCACCAATGTGTAAAATATGCAGGTGATGTTGGCAGGCCTCTCATTTATCGCTGAAGAAAACAAGATTCAAGAGCTTTTGTCGATAAGGGCAGACAGCAAGCAAGACACATGATCGCAGTGTTCCAGATTAAGGTTTTTCTGTTGTGGTGACATTTGATCACCAATATCTACTAAGTTCATCCTTCAGTCCAACTAACTGGAAATTCCCTCAAGGCAAAAATGAAAGGGGACGAATGGACAGACAGACAGCTCTAAAACATAATGCATCCATCTGGTCAGTGGCTGTCAATGGCCCGCAGGCATTAGAAACCTTTTTGAATGCCAACCCTCACCATAAATCCATAGAGAATAAGTTTCTTATTTATTAAGTGGATTTTTTGGAAGTCTAAAAGGTTTGGTGTTTTTGGAGAAGAAAAACGAAACATTTCCAACAATTCCAAACACCTGGTACTGTTCCAGTGTTGTGTCTTGTCTCGTTTCACTTCTCCTTTTTAAGGCCGCAGTAAAGGACTCTACACGAGGTCAGAAGATGAAACATTAGGATTATAGATCAAGGGCAGTGTAGCACAAGCTGATGAAAAAATGTGCATGGGTGTGTTTTGTTTTGGTGCATATTTCCACATGACCTCATGAGCTGAAGCTTTGTGAGAAGAGAACAAGACACTGGTGTTTGACCACTGACAGTGTGATTATGGTGGAGAGGAAGAAAAGGAGTATTAAAGCTTTAAAGAGAAGGACTGGAGAAGCAGAGAGGAAGCTGGACTGGATCTGTTCAGCCTGACTCTGGTTTGACTGCACATACCTCATACCTCACTAGTATCTGTCTGGAAGGCTAAACGTGTTCTTTGCTGGATGTGAAAACAAAAGAAAACTATTAAGTTCACTGAGAAGCTGCTGCATCTTCACATGATCTCAACAACAGATTCTTAAAATTTGCATTGTGCACTTTTGTAAATTTAAGGCATCTTTAATTTAGTATTTATCTGTTGTTCTTGTCCTCCGTCTCCCTCCTGCTGCAGCCGTCAAAGGCAGCTCACTTGAGATGTTTCCACTTACTCATGAATTTGCCTGCAGGCTGGTGATTCACCAAGATTTACTTTTAAATATGTCTGGGGTTGCTTTTTTTTACTCTAGACAGCAGGTTTACTCCTCCTAAAGAGGGAGTAGGCTCAAAAACAAAAACAAAATCTTTATCGAGCTTACACGTGACTTGCCCAGGGTCCAGATGTTAACTTATTAATTATTTTATGCCATCTATCATCTGAACTAAACATCTGAACTTTTCTTGACTTTTAGTGACCTACAGAGCTTTCCCTACTATATCCAGGGCTCAAGGCTACCTTTGTAAATTGTATTCTTGTGATACAAAACCAGAACAAAAGCCTTATCTAACACAGATGAAATTCTGATTGTAAAATTACAGGATGGATGCATTAAGATTAAGAAGAAGATCAGTTAAACAATCCACCTGTTAGATTGTTTGTGTGATGATTTGCTCATTACGCAATCAATTCATGTATTTGTGGATGAATGGATCACATATTATCCATTTCTTCAGTCATTCATCATAAAGTTACATTTGTTTTTTTAATTTTTTACGTTCATTCACTCATGCTCAACATCTGGGATGTAGTATAGATTTTAAACTCCGCCTCTTCTATGTTAGCGGATGGACATAGGGTAAACTAAAAAGTCAAAGTACAAGTCATACAATTATATTTCATACACTCCTTCTTGATAGATTTTAAATGTTACGTAAAATAATAGTTAAATTAAAAATTCAATGGGTGAAACATGAATGAAAACTTTCATGTGGAATTTTTCTTGACTTAAAGATTTGCCAAAGTTTAAACAAGTAGCTTCTGCACAATGAAAATGGTGATGAAGTTTAAAGATAGACAGTAGAGAAGCAGATATTTTAAATATTTCTTTTTATCATCCACTGAGTTCTCAGACGTCCACATCAGTCGAGTGACTCACATGGTATCATCCCACCTCTTTTGTATCACCACGCTCTGCTGGCCCTCCCCCACGTCATTAAATCTTCCCTGTCTCCTTTTCTGCGAAGCCATTCGCTAAAAAGACAAAGGAGCCCCCCGATCCATTTGCTGTGGCCCCAACTGTTGTTATGGAAACAGAACAAGTGCCTCACATGCTATATTAGCTAAACAAGGTGGATTTAGTGTAACTCATGCCAGGCTGAGGACTGCAAAGGGCAACTAATGCAGGAAAATTAAGCAACCTTATTTGGCTGTATTATCTTAATTTATCATTATCATTAACTTAAAAAACAGGATTTAGAACACACTCAAGTCCCTCCTCACTGTAGGTTATTATCCAGTACTTGTTAAAGTATTTGTGTAATGTGTGTGTGTGTATCTTTGTTCGTACACATAAGTCTCTGAGCCCCAGCCAAACAAAAGTTCAGCCTCAGAGTGAATTAGGGCACAGTGAGCTGCACAGTCTCTCAGTCGTTGTCATGGAAATATTTGTTGTAACTGACATAGAAAAGTACACTGTCACTGTAACACAACACATTGCAGACACTTTTATAACATGGGAGAGAGAATACACACACACACACACACACACACGCAAGTTTCCTCAAATTGCTGAACAGTATGAGTGAATGCTGTGATGAGAGTGTCCAAGAAGTGGCACTATTATAAATCAGCTCATTAATGAGCTTGTATTGTGCTGCCAGTGATGAATAGGTCAGTTCATAAAGGCTTCTTATGTAAAATTTAATTCAGCGTTAATGATGTGTGTGGGGGGATTCCTATGAAAGAGATACTGCAGTGTGTAGTCTGCCAATCATTGTTTTTAGTGGTGATGGGACATCACTAGGGTCAGGAACTCTGGAGCATAGTGTTTCAGCTGGTTGACCAGTCAAATTTACGTTTTGGTGCAAAGATTCAGTGTGGCCGAGTTTTTAGGGTGATTTTTTTGTCCATTTCAAAATTAAAATCCTCTGCAATAAGCATGTTGGAAAAGTATAGAGGCACCTTACCCAGAACCAGCAGCTCCACAGGGGCTTCGTTCTGACCCTCGAGGTCGTCAGATATAACCACTTTGCAGATGTAAACTCCACTATCTCCCCACTGGACCTCTCCAATCCGCAGATCTGCTTCTGCATGAGAAAAAGGAAAGAAGTTAAAAACGAGTAACTAAATCCTTTAACACCTCACTGTATCATGCTGCTGGGGATGAGTAAAAAGTGAAATACTGGTGGCGAAGTTCAGAAAATACAACTATTTCAAGTTTAAACATGTTTTCAGAAACATTCCAGCAGTGCATTTTTGGAATAAGTAACCCTTGTAAACTCTTTCATATCAATGTTTGCATTTCTGCATTTTAATGCTATACTCTATGCCAAAAGGTATGGGACAACACAAGTTTTACATTCAACAACTAATTCCAGAACCTTTCAACAAGACTTTCAAAGTCTGGAAGCAGGGATTTACTTCCATTCAGTGGGAGAGCAGTGGTGAGGTAAACCACTGATGTTGGGTGACAAGGCCTGAGATTCCACTTCATTCTAAAGGTGTTCATTCAAGAAGGACGAAAAAAACTACACTTCCAGAATCGCCCAGTGTATAAAAATACAAATACAGCATAAAACTTCCTCCCATTATCATGAAATGAAGCCAAGATATCCTGGATAGGAACACTACCATCGAGCACATTTGGAGCCAGAATCTGCACGGTAGGGATAGGAGGATGGAGCGAGTCGATACACATGCTCGACCAATAACAAGCCAGCCTCTTGTTATCATTTTTATAGAATCAAATAAGTAATTGGAACCAAACTTATCAGAAAAAAGGAAACAATCATCAGTGTGATAAGAATGATCAAATCCACATTTGAGAAAAATGTATTTGACTTTTTAGTTTGGTCCATGTCCCATCCATCAACATGGAGGAGGCAGGGATTATACTGCAGGAAGCCACCATGGGCGTGAAAAGCACTTTGATTTCACCATCAGGGAGCTGGCATATCATCCAGCTCTATATATAGTCTAAGAAACAATAGTGTCCATACACTTTCACAAATATACACTTCGTCCAAAAGTGTATATTTGTGATCACTTAGGATGATGCATGTTGTGTCAAACTCCATTAGAACTTTTTCAATTGTGGAAACAAGATTTTAAGCCGTAAAAAACAATTCCAAAATAGTTTGGCCAAAGAGCTGAACACTCGAGACAATGCTGGGCTGCTGACTCCATTGTGAGGGGGTCAGACGTATAAATACAGCAGAAAGGAAATGGGTTGTATAATTCACTTCCTTTTCCTGTGAGCCGAGGAAAAGGTAGGAGAGACCAGGCTGCACCACAGTGACCAGTCTCACTTTCAACAAAGTTACACCTCCACTCATGCGGCAAACAAAGTTTTATTTGATTTCATTCTATTTACTTTAAAGCAATCTTATGATGAAATCAAACCTGTCCTGTTGGTTTTCCTTGATTCATTCTATCTTTCCTCACACATCTGCCAGGGGCTATAAGTGTAAGTGAGTGTGTTGGTTTGTGTGTGTGTTAGCAATGTGATTAGCAGAACCCCCCCCTTCCTGCCAAGTGCATGCTGGGACAGACTCCAGCAGCCTCCCTGAGACCCTGAATAGGATTACATGAGTATGGATGACTGGGCGTCTCTAAAAGGAACATAGTCGAAGCTTTCAATATTTTTGTCCATTTACAACATCACTACACTGACCTGTTTGAGGAAGGGAGGTGGAGTAGGACGGAAAAAGAGAAGACAGTAAAGAGCCTACAGTGAGAGAACTGAGTGTTTGGATGGTGGGATGTGAAGAGATCTAGAGAGTAAAAATAAAAGCGAGACATTGAAGTACATCAGAACAGAGGGAGTGAGAGGTGGAGATGAATGAGAGGACAGCATGAAAACCCGTTTCTTTTGTCTGTGTTCCTGGCTGGTGAAGAGAAGGCCGATTCTTCGGCCAGAGTTAGAGCTCCATAAATCTGAGGGCTCGCAAACAAGGCTGCCACTCTGTCAAGTGCACACACATGCACACTCACACACACACACTCACACACGCGCATATATGCACAGCAGTGTCCTTTAGATGGTCTTCTAAAGGCACAATGGTAAGACTGTAAGGAAGTGTAGACCTCAGGAGAGAGGGAGGGCATCAGAGAGAATTCCTGTGCTTAATATGTGGTAAACTGCTGTAATATTTATTAGCTCGACAGATTTCTTTTTTGATACAACTCAACAAGCTCCACCCCCCAGTCTGCTGTTTGAAAAATAACCTTGTTATTGCTTAATGGACGACAAACTATACGTAATGATGGCACTGACTTTGTGTTACTTATCTGATGACATAATGAAAGTGCCAATACAAATACTGGTGTGAGAAGATGTTTATTAGAGAAGATTATTATTAAGATGTATTTGTCAATGATAATCTATAACACTGTTTGAGAGCATCTTAATTAATGACAACATATATTTTGTGGTGCCTTTCTAAATACTCAAGAACACTTTACAATACTTCATATATAAACACAACAATAATCCTGTGTCTACTAATCTTCTATCTATTATTACTGCAAATTTGAAAAATCTGTGTGACTCTCATATCTTGAGGACCTTTCATCTTCGGCCCCTCACTTGTCATGTGTATTGTTAAAGGTCCAAGGAAGTGCAGTGTCGAATTTTGTGCAATTTTGACATGTGATACATTTATTAAACTTTCAATAAAATGGCAACCAGCGTTCTGTAGCAGCGGCGGCTGGAACTCATCGACGTGACACTGTCGATCACAACAACGGCAACAACAACTGATTCTCCAGTTCGGGGTTCTGCGTACTGAGTCGAGCTTCACAGAACTTTGAACACACAAGTGAGCAGCTCCTAGTGCAGCAGAGGTGGTGATGCTTCAGGTTTCTGTGGACTGAGTCCCACAGACTTTACTTGTTGCAGTGCAAACTGCAGGTCACTTTTACTGTTTCAGAAAGAAAGCCACATGCTACAGTAGAAACAAACAGCCTTTTCCAAACAGGCTTGTTAAGAACAGCCACTTCACTAATTAAAAGTAAAACCAAGTGTTAAAATTTGATTCAGAGACACCTCACAATAAATCACATGTAAACACATCAAACTGCAGTAATTTGTGGAGTTGTTCATGTGTATATAGTCCAGTTACCTACATAGTATTATCACAACCTGGATGACTGAGAATCTCCACAGAAGTGTTCTACTATGCACTTGTTGAGAAAATATTCATAGTTGATGAGTTATTTCTGATTGGAATAATTTGAGTTTTGTCTTTTCTCTCAAAAACGTTCCTATCTTCCCCTCACAGCAAACTGTAGCATTTGTAAATAAGTGTTGATGGTGGGTATTTAATCATTTCTTCTGACTTATATAACCTGATTGTTCTGAAAGCTCAGTAAAGTGTACAGTGAAGCCTCTAAATCCTGTGCCTCATACCTCCCTTACATGTACATAGAATCTCTCTGAGTTTGGGGCATTTAATCTGGAATCTGTTGGGAGTGTGAGCCAATGCTCTGATTTTTGGCTTTCACAAAACTTGCCAGGCTTTGGCAGCCGAAGAATCAAGAGCATTAGTTCAAGCAATATGTTACAAAAAGAAAAGAGGGTGCTATTTCTTTTAGGCAGTAAACTGGACACCCTAAAATTCAAATCCTTCAAACTAAAACTGTTAAATTTCTTCTGGCTTATTTTACAGTGCTGCAGGAGTCTTACTGTTGATGATGGAGATGTCTCTGTTCTTGTAGTACTCTGACAGTGTGATCGAGGAACCAGAGATGGAGGCCACCATTCGGACTGTCCGGCTACTGTCAGAGCAGTCGAGGTAGCTCGCCGTCATCCCCGTCTCGTACCCTCCTCCGGCTCCTCCGGTCCCACCCGTCAGCCCGCCTCCACCCAGGCTGTCGGGGAAGTTGAAGGAATCCCGAGTGCGGTCGCGGCAGTATGACTTGTAGACCCACTGAACCACGGGGGTCTGCGTGGACACACTGGTGTACTGACACGGCAGAACCACGGACTGGAACAGCACAGCATACCTCTTCTCATCCCTCACAAACACATTGACCCCCGAGCAACAGGGAGGGAGGACACCTATGGAGGAGGAAGGAGACAATAACAAGGGATTAGTTAAGTGAAAGATGGAAAAATAAATAATTACCAATAAATAAATAAAAAGTGAGTCTTGATAATCATTTAATTCACTGTGTTTGTTGAACTCTGAGAAAGCTCATGTTAGGGTATTCAAACATAGTCAACAGTTGATGCAGAGGTCAGGTACTTTAAAACCTTTAGTACAATGATTTGTGTCAAAATTTGTACTCATCTCTCAAGATGATGCAGATCATTTCTAGATTCAAAATAGCCCAGTGGTATCCGAAAGAACAACCCATGGTCCATTGCAAACAGGAACTGCTAACCTTTAATGCGACATAATTCTAACGGTGCCAATTTGTTGCTGGAGGGGTTGTAGTTGCCTGGACTTTGCCTGCAGAGTGCCAGACTTTGAAAACCACAGACCTTGCAGCCAAAACAAGTTTCAGTAATACCTGAGAATGTGTAATGAAGGGGATTAAGGAACGACTGAAGCAAATAGCAACACGCAGTGATTCAGAAGCTCAGTTGACACCTGCCCCCGTCTGCTCACTTTAAAAATAGCTGACAAACCACAAGCTCACCTCATGGAAAACATATCTGTTATGAATTTGATTGAAATTAGTGAATTAGCGATTTAGTCAATAAAGACATTTTAGGGTTTGCATTAACTAGACAGGCTTGCATGTTGTTTGCGATTAAATGAAATAACATTTAAGTTTGACAAGATAAAAATAGAAAACTTGAGTGGCTCTCAGTCGAGCACATACCTCTGCCAAGGGCCAACAGTCTCTTAAATTCAGTCAAGCTGCACCAAATTTTACACACATAAATATTACCTACATTTCCCTGTTTGGTTTTTTTCGAGATGCATGAATCATTTCCTCAAAAACATTTCAGGATCTGCACCAACATTTCACTAGGTCCTCCCTGATCCTAGTTCTCCCAAATTTCATGGTGATCCATCCAGGTGTTTTTGTGTAAATCTTGCTTAAAACAAACTAAATAACATACAAACCAACCAAACAAAGTAACAGGAGTGGAAACATAACATAACGCAATCAAAATGTAGGTTCTTTGAGTTGCTTAAATCTGAATGTGACCTGAGTTTGACCCGAGGTTGTTTTGGACCCTCTGATGTCTCTCTGGGTCACATGATGACCAGGAGCTCGAGCTCGGCAGTTCAACATCAACACACACTGGAGAGATGACCATGTGAAAAAAACACACTCACACACACACAAACACACACACCCTGAAACATCTGCACATGCTGCTGTGGCTGAACAGTGGGAGGCGTGACTGAACCGCACCAGTGAACAGAGATGAGGTAAAATGTGAGAAGGGGGCGGCAGCTTCACTTTATTAAGACCAGGCCAGTTCACTGAATTTAGTTTTCTCCTTGTTGTAATGTTCTGTTGCCTGATGTCTGATGGATTTGATCAAAAACACCAATTAGCTACATCGAGGCACAATGTTAATTAATGTAAAGTCAGAATGCAGATTTCCAAAAAAAACATGTGTACAGGATGGTTTTACAGTTTACAGAGCTGAACTGAAAAGTATTTAAATGTTTCGTCTATGTCATCTGAGGATAACTGGGATTCACAGTTAAAGTTGAAGGCTTGGAGCGGTGTGGATTCTGGATAAAAAAGTAAAAAAACAGGCATCGCTTCAGACCAAGATAAATCAAGCTCATTGAAACAGAAATTCCTCAGGGAGGACATTACTGGTCTCTGACTCCTAACAACTGGGGGGGACACCAGGAGGTTGATTTTCCTGGAATCAAAAGCTGCAGGTGATCCAGGCTTTATTAGTTTTGTGAGGAAGCCTCCTCCAGAGGAGAAAATGAAAGCTGGAGGAGGATGAGAAGGACGGCGACTGTTGCAATAATGGATATTAAGTGTCTTTGAGACCAGAATGCAGAATAAATGTTTCTTGTCACATTATTTCTTTTGTGTGTAAAGACTGATTATTGTTTCTGAGTGAAAGTTGTGGTTTTAAACTCTTCTTTATGAGAAGAGAATGACAAACACTGGATAAAAAACAAAACCTTTTATAAATCTGAGGTAGATGAATGATGATCAATTGATCTTGTTTTATTGCATGGCCATCCCCAATTATGTCCCTGCTTTTGAATGAGTAAATATGACCTGTGCTTGATAAGCACCAGCAAATGGACGGACTGATGGACTGACTGATGGATACATTTAAGGGGATTTTCCATGGTCAGCTTTTTATTAAACAAATCATAAAAATATTTTTCATTAACAAAATTAAGGATTTTTAAAAGACTTTCTTAATACTGTCTTATCTTATCTTACCCTATCTATGGATGGATAGATGAATGGATGGATGGAAAGATTGGTAGATGAACAGGTGGCTGGATAACAGATAGATGGATGGATGTAAGGATGGCTGGATGGATCGGTAGATGGATGAATGGATAAATGGATGGTTGAAAAGATTGATACATGGAGAGATAGGTGGATGGATGGATGAATGGATGAATGGGTGCATATGTATGTATTCAATCAGGACTTTAGAAATACATTTTAAAGCACATATATAATCTTTATTTTGGGAATTAATCATTCGTTTTAAATCTTATCTTATTGAATACCAAACTAGTAAAGGATCCAGTGTTCCTCTGGTACTTTACTTGGATGTATTGTGTGTTTTTCCACTATTAAATGAACTTGTATTTGAGGATTAGCTGGTTTAACTTCTGACTGGTTTAACTACAGGTCACTCAGTGCAGTCACAGTTTTCCTCAAATACATTAAAAAGTACTTTTAATAGTGGAAAAACACACAATACATCCAAGTAAAGTACCAGAGGAACACTTGATCCTTTACTAGTTTGGTATTAAATAGGATAAGATTGAAAATCAATGATTAGTGTTACTGTATTGTGTGTTTTTCCTCTATTAAAAGTACTTTTTAATGTATTTGAGGAAACTGTGACTGCACTGAGCGACCTGTAGTTAAACCAGTCAGAAGTTAAACCAGCTAATCCTCAACCCCCCAGAAGTCTGGGACTCTTTCACACATGACTAAATGTGGAGACTGAAGCCCAGCACAAAGAAACACTCACACTTCTCTGCAGTGAAATACTGAAGAACCGAGATTAGGAAAAGAACAAATGTCCCCAACACTATGTTAAAATAACTCAACGTGTTGGATCCAAGTTTGTTTTGAATGTTGAATTGGTCCCAGCAGCCATGAAGCAGCAGGTCGCTGTGTTCATCTGTGGAGACGTTAGCCAAACGTGACCGGAGCTAAACAAGCTGTTACTCTTCATCTCCATCTTCATCTTCATCTCTTACCTGAAACACAAGCGATGAAAATCCACCACTTCAGCTTCAGGAACATTTCTCTCATCCTGCAGAAGAGTTTCACTGAAGTCTCCTCCTGATGTTCGCACTCCTCTTCTTCTTCTTCTTCTTCTTCTTCTCTGTGTCTCTCCATCCCGACCAACTGACACATAACGGGACCTGCGTCAAGCTCGTCACAATAAAACTCGGGATATCCGGTTGCAAGTTTCAAAATAAAAGCTTTGTCGACACACGCGGTGAATGCGAGGATGAGCGTTGAGAAAACGATTAGAAAGTACTTACAGTTTTACTTTATTAAAAGTACAACTACATGGACAAAAATGAGCTCGAGTAAAAGTACCACATTAACCTACAAAAAAATTCTTGCATAGTAC